TGCCTTTCAGATAAGGTATTTCAGCAAATATTAATAGATGTCATAGGTAATGAAATAAGTTTTGCTTTATGTCTCTCATACAAACATGCATAAGAGATAGAGGATATTTTTATTGAAATATAATCTAAATGTAGGAGAATTAACAATATGTAAAGCATTTAGCAAATTTTATTCCCAAAAGATATTTATCAAAACTTAAGATATTTCATAAATCTGACACTAAAAATAGAAATGCTGTTTTATTTTCCTGGCTTCTAATTCTAAAGACTCTTGAAGTATATACCACGGAGATAAAAAAAAAAAAAAAAAAAAAAAAAGCTGGACTCTTCTCAAATATACATCAAATGATATTCTTTGGTTTTTCAATGATAATTTTAATTCTCTATTAAACTGTTTTCTTGAGAGTCTGAACAATCACAGCAAGTTACTGAATTGCTTACATATTTCATCAATTTATAAGTAGCACAGGCAGCATCACTGATGTCAAGGAACCTGATTCAGATGCCTCCCATTTGTAGAGATGACCATTTATATTCCCTAAAGTTCCAATAATTCTAATTCTGAGCTTTACAGATGATAGTGGAATTGATCACCGAAAACATTACAAATTGAATCTTTCACATACATTGTAGCAGCTGATAATGCATGGGGGGGTGTAACTTTCATGTCAACTTTACAGATGAGGTGACAGGAGTCTGAAGAGCATATACTGATAGTTAACAAAGACAAGAAAAGGTACTCAAGCTTATTAGTTATGAGGGAATGGCATTAAACCAAAATGAGACAGTGCTTACCAGAATGCCTAGAATAGAACAGTGCACCACATGTTGGTTAGGGTGTGCAGAAACTGGACCCCCATCCAAGGCTGTGAGAGTATGAATTGGTGCATCTGGAGAACTGTTCAGCAGTATCAATTCAAGCTGAATATAAGCAACTAGAAATTCTAGTTTCAAGTATTTATACCAGGAAAATGTGCTCCAAAAGACATACATAGGAATGTTCATAGCAACAATATTCATAAAAAAGACAATGACAAAGATGTCTATCAACTGTAAGGTGCAAGAGCTCTGATAGAACAAGTAAACCACTACTACATAAAATGTTAATGAACCTTGCAAATGAAAGTGAAAGGGGGCCTCCCTGGTTGCGCACGGGGTTGAGATGCAACCTATGAAGCTGTCTGTAGCCACTGTAGCATAAGTTCAATCCCCGGCCTGGGAGAAACCCACATGGCACAGCAGACTTCTTCTGACTCGCCCACTGCTCCCCTCAGCAGTGTATTTCAGTCAATCTGCCTGTTCGGTGCACCACTCTGTCTCTGGTGAATGCTCTCACCCTCTGCACCTCTGGCCTGTACCCCAATCCTTGTATGAATAAATAAAAATAAATCTTTAAAAAAAAGTTAAGTGAAAGATGACAAACATAAAAAAGTATACAGAGTATGATTCCATTTGTATTAAGCTCAAAAGTAGGTGAAACAAATATATATGAGCAGTTAGGGTTGTAGCTACCTTTGAGAGAAAGCAAGGAAACATGGGGCAGGGGAGGCATAAGGAGCTCTGGGGTAGTAGCTGTCGTGGTCTGTTTCTGTATAACAAACTATCATAGACTTGGTGGCTTACAAAACAAACATTCACTTCCCACAATTCCAAAGCTGAGAAGTCCAAGGACAAAACACAGATTCAGCAACTGGTTCGGCCATAGATAGTTTGATGTAAATTTCACATAATAAAATGACTCTCTTAGGTAATGTACTATCATCTTTTTTATAAAAGAGAAAAAATAAGGTACATTAAAGTTAAATAGCACATTCAATTAACCACAATCACTAAGTAAGAAAAAGGTAAAATCCAGGCAGTAGTCCTGCACAGAGTCCCACGAAGAACCCCTTTTTTTCTTGAACTGGTAATTGGTGCTTCTGAAGCACATTTGTGCATGGACATGGAAAAATCTCTGAAAATATGATTCGAAGTTGGATCAAACCAGAACACAGTCAGATCAAGGAAGATGGCCTCACCAATGCCAAGCACATACTACTGCTTTCCAAAATCTGACTTACAGAAGGAAACAGATTTACCTAACTTTGGCCTGCAGAATTAGTTTTGAGAGTCACGTCAATTGTCTTTCCCTTTTATTCATTTGTGCAAGATGTTTTACATACTCCAGATGTTGTTGTACTCATTTTTACCCCTTTGGAATTCTAAGTTTAGAATTAGAAATGAAAGTCAAAGAATGAGTCATGAAAATAAAAACCAAAGGATAACATTTTAGTGTTTTTCCTTTAAATGTGTTTAAATTCTTTATAGATTACCACAAAACCCAACTTATACTTCTTAGATCATTTTGACTGCCTATGATTTTTTAGAAGGTTGGTGTTTAGAATTCTGTATGTTAAAAATGATGAGGAAAAGATCAGATCTATTGTACTACCATCTGAACAAACACCATTGCCTTTTTGCATCTCAATCTCAGCTAGAAAATAAGAAAAGTACCAAATATTTCATAATATACTTCATGTAAATCCAGTTGAGTTATTTATCTTGAAAGGACTCTTGTTTTTTAATAATTTTGAATTTTAATTTTTTATATCACATGGAGATTTTTAAGTATTCTATGTTTTGTCAACATCTAACTATTTATTGCATCTTAATAACAAATGTGAATACAGTTTAGCAGTTACCCAGGTTGGCTACAGAAAAATAGAGTGCCCTCTCTAAAATCAAAAAAAGAAAAGATTCTTGTTTTAGACAGTCTGGTAGAAGAGCTACATTCCCCATGTGTTATAAGCAAATAAGGAAGCTATTACTAAAATAGGACTTGTGGCAGGTCCCAATAAAAATCAGCATTTGGGCTGATAGTGAAGCAAAATAAATATGAGTGGAAATTTATGTCAATCATAATCTTTTTCTTGAATGATGATACTTATTACTTGGTCAATAGAATTAGTTGCAAGTATGACCAACAAGTAGTTGTTAGATCAGTTAATTTAAGTTTAACAACAACAGGTCTTTTATAATTTTGAGGCTCACTGTATTCAACTAACTAATCCTTATATCTAACAAGAAAATCAATACCTTTGAAATAATTAGCTTTGGGCTCATGGGAATCTCTACTTCTGGGCAGACAGATGAGGTACTACTTGAAATAATTACTGACCGAACTACAACCAGTTTCCTTGTAAAATCAAATCAATTCCTCTAAAGGACCTTTTTTTCCCTCTTCCCTCTGAAATCTGTGAAACAATGCCAGGATTGAAAATATCCATTATATTTCTATGCTTTTTAACTGGTTTTGAAATTTCAAGATTTGGAAAACGTACTGTGAGATGAGCTATGCATTCATTTTCCTGTTATAGCATGAGAAAAATAAAATAACTCCCACATACCTTTATCCACTAAAGATGACAGCCAATCTCAAAAAAGTTTAAATACACCAAACATTTAAAAATATTCCATAGGGTAAAATAAAATTCTTGAAGAGACTGTTTTTAAAAAATGGCTCTGCCTGTGATTTTTCATGCCCTCCTATACTTTCATAAAATTAAAAGTAAGAATCAGCTACTAAGAAAAAGATAGTCCAAAGAAAATACAATTATTGCCCTGGTAGATTTAATCCCTAAATGGCTCTCTATTGTTCTTAGCACTGAATTTCAGTAGACACTAAAAGCTCAGTATTTCATTACAGTCACCTGTCCCCTGGGTACTCTGAACTTCAAGTAATTTAAAGAATCATGTGTTATGTCCATGGTATTTACAAATGTGGTTGGTTTGAAGATTCTCAGGAAGAAAATGATTCTTCCTTTAGCAAACAGTAGGATGAAGGGATAAATAAATAATAAATGACTACGAAGTCACCGATAATGTTCCTACTTAACCAATCACAACAAAGTACTCATGCAAACAGAAAAATTAATCTCAAATACTTTCTTCAAGGGTGGGTGACTCTGGATTTCAACAACTTTGCTATTCCTGAACACCACTGGATAACTGAAGATAAGTAGCTGAAACTACCTTACTATTTATTTTGTATATCTGAAGGAAAAGAACAAAAACATGAGGTCACCAACTAAGACACAATGAAAACAGACAAGCATACTACAAATATAAAACATACGTTACTCTGTGAACCTCAAAAGTCTATTGCCAGTTCACTGATTAATGTAAAGTTTCCATTTTAAGTTCAGACATTTCTTTTTCAAATATTCTGGCATTATTCTCATTTATGATTTTTTAGTGATGATCCAGATTACTCATATCTTCAGTTATATCATGAACCAATGGAATATCAAAATAACATCTTCCACATAATATATATCCACCTCAATCTTGCTATGATAGATGACTGAGTATATAGAAATGAAACAAAGCATATTGGTATTTCACTTGATTGAATATTTACTGAATACCTACCATGCCTCTGTCATGGTTGTGTAAATTACATTCTAGTTAACAAAAGAAGATGCATATGAAACAATGTTACATGTACTTAGAGTACATATTGCAAACTGTAACATATGAAACTTCCAGAGATGACTATTAAAAAACATGGAAAGTGTAGGACCAATATTTTCCAATATTACATCGTTTTAAACCTATAACTTTCTTTCATATCCAATCTTATGACAATACCTTTAGGATCTTTATGGAAGGAATTTGAGACTGTGTCCTCTCTAAGTCATGTAAAACTAATCAATTATCCAGACACTGCTTCATGTCAACCAGTGTTTCACTGTTTCAGGCACTACACCTTTTTTTTTTTTTTTCTTATTTCCTCCCATCTCCCAGAACTTTACAATTATAGCCTCTGAATAAGATACAGGAACACTGATACGTCTCATGTATGATGAGGTAAAGCACTATGTATTCCAATTGTATATAAGGTAAGATTTGCATGTAGGCCTATAAAGTACATATTTGGCTTTTTAACTCTTAGAAGCAGGAAAGGCAGTTATTGATGGTGAAAAATCAGAACATTACCTAATCTCCCTACAAAGAGGTTACCTTAGGATCAGCTGTGAGCAATTTAAATGCTTGATATACTTGAGATTCCTTTACACCACCACCAAGATCCAAAAAGTTGGCTGGCTTTCCACCGTTCAGGAAAATGATATCACAAGTAGCCATGGCCAGTCCAGCGCCATTCACTGTGCAAAGCAAATGGCACATAAAATAGGATATATTTAGCAACATGAAAAGGTGCATAAGCTTTTTCCCTCCCCATATTGCCACAAGAGAACCCTGCTATTACTAGGTCAATTTCTGTTCTGCTTGCAATTCTGTTCAACTAGACACATATATAGACTTTGATAAATAATCAGTAAAAGCACATTCACAGAATAAGCAAACAACAACAAAAAAAAATACCTGAGAACAGGAAGATGGATTTATTGAGAAGTTAAATCCTGGGAAACAGAAAGAAGAATTTAAGTAAGTAATCAGTGTAGACTAGTAGGTGAAGAGGAGTTTTAGGTTATTTAAAGTACCTAAAGTTCCAAAGAATTGGGAAAGACAGAAGAAAGATAGGAAAAGTTGTTAGAGCCCATGAATTACATTCTTTTTAATATTCTTTAAAAGATACGATAAAGATTGGATTTCTTTCCAATTTTTGATCACTGAGACTATGTTCCTTTAAATATGGCATCCCTCTGGAGTTGACCCACAGGGGTCCCAACTTCAGTGGGTTCCATATTTTCTATACTTAGTGCAATCATGCATATGCTGTCTGTTTGCAAACCTATATGTTATCTGGATAAACTTAGAAAACAAAGGAACAAATGACAAAAGCACAAGCAATATTCCTATTACCCTGTTAATTTTTCAAATTACCACAAGAAATGATGTCTAAGCAATTTGATCATTAAAACTAGAACCAAAATATGTCAACATCTTAGGAACTTTTGAAGAGTTTTTTCACTTCAAAATTCTTATTTTCCAGAGTTAATTTTTATTGATCAATTGTACTTCCTTTGCTTCTTACACTTAATTATATGAAAGTACTTTCCTCAATTTGGGGGGGGGGCGCTCCTGACCACAGAAGAAAATCTCAAGGTAATGCATCCTTCAATTTTTCTGATGCTTGAATTCCCCAGACGAGCCTATGAACAAGCCTATTTTAAGTAAGTCAGGGCAAGGAAAATAAAAATGGTTTAAACAGGATCCTAAAACAAATTTAAATGTGTTAATTGTAGCTTCTGAGGCTGCTAACTTGGTCAAATCACGCACACTCCTACAGAAGCAGCTAAGAATCTGTATTTAATTTGTTCTAAACACACCATTATATCTCTCCCCTTTCTAAATGCCTACAAACACTGAGAGCACATTACCTTATCAAGATCAAAATGATGTAAGTGATCAAGTTATCGCTCTAATACAAAGCAAGCGCTTTTGCTATCACTTGTAATTGGAAGTCATTTTCTATTGTATTGAACAGCAAACTATTGGATGAGGTCTGTTTAGTTCTGAATATAATGATACTGTTGGTTTAATGAGCTACATATCTTTTGTATTTTAATCCTGTTAAAATTAAGACCTCAGTTTCTAGTGCAATGAATTGGTTCCATCAGAAACATGGAGGCATATGAACCTCTCAGTACTATAGAAGTAGACAACAACAGTTAAGTGTATTGTCTCTACAGACCCATTCTTATCTCAGCTGAATAAGTACTTTTCACAAAATTAGGTAATTATGATAAAATCAATTATTTTTATAATTGTTTTATAAAACAATTGTTTTATTAATAAACTGGTATAACAGATTAAACATTTTATCCTCCATTTGGCTATTATAGAAGCTGAAACATGGGCATAAGCAGTAAAATATATGTTGCCTTCTACTTTCTTTGAGAAACAATTTTATCATAAATTCAAATATCATAATAGTTTCTAGTATATTTATATTCACAGGAATAGCAAAACTACTCACTTTTACTAAGCAAAGTTTAAATTAGATGCTTGAAAAGAATGGTTTTCATCTGGGGTGATTTTGCCTACCAGAAGATACTTAGTACTGTCTGAAAACATTTTGGTTGTCACTACTGCAGGCACCTAAGTGGTACCTAAAGGCCAGGGATACTGTTAAATATTTTACAATGCACAGGACAGTCCTCCAACGCAAAGAATTATCCAACCCAAAATGTCAATACCACAGTTGAGAAACCATGCTTTAAATCACTGACCACTGACCACTGACCAAAATAAACTCCAGGAAGAAACTCTGGATTCTCTCTTAAGATTTTTTTGGCTACAAAGAACAAAAAGCAAACAAACAAAAAATATGTGCATTTTCTTGCTATTAAGAAATAAATCTTTCAGAAATCAGTTTGATACTGAAATTTCAGAAATGAATTTCTAAAAAATTCACAGATCATTTTTTGAGATAACTGCTTTCTTACCAAAGCATGCAATGTTCCCATCCAATCCTATGTATTTTAGATCATATTTGTCAGCTTCGTTTTCAATGGGCTCAGTCTCTGATTTGTCATCCATAGCAAATATGTCCTTTTGTCGGAATTCTGCGTTGTCATCAAAGTTTATCTTGGCATCAAAACAGACAACTAAAGGAAAAAAGGAATATATCTGAATATCCCATAAGGATTTATAAGTTAAGTTCTCTAAGCTGACAGGGACAGAAAAGTAAGAGATTGTGACTTTTTTATTCTCTTGTTATAAGCAGAAGTAGTTAAGGCTTTCTAAACTCTACAACTACAAAGATAACTATGAGATGGTCTCATTTCTCAAGAGACTTGCATTCTAGCACATTACTATATAAATATATAGTAATTTATATTTCTGGTCTCTGTTCAATAAATGAATATAAATTAAATCACACAAAAGCTATAGTCTGACATGTTACTATATAACTCTGATTCAGTATTTTTATTACATTTCTTATTTTCAGAGTTAAGCACTGATAATAACCTCTCCCTTCTATGTAGAGACTAGACAATAATGTTTAATCCAGTTGTTTACCTTTTTCCTTCTTGTGTTGTTGCAAAGTTAAATTTTTATTTAATTAACATCTTCACTACTATTTCTGAAAGACATATTGGCAAAAATACTGAGCCAAAATCAATAGTTTTTTAGTTGATCTTTAACTCTGTAGCCTTAACAAAAATAACCTGTTCTTCCCTGGACTTCAGTTTTTCAGTTGGAAGATGGAAATAGCAGTCCCTAGTCTGATGATAGACCTTCTTTGGGGTCTGCTGAAACTAGGCCCATTACCCTCATGCATGCAGCACTATCTTACAACTCTTTTGATTCAAGTGATAAAACACAACATTCCAAGACTGCTCAGATATAATGAGACATCATCAGCATATTGTCTCCACTCTCTGGTGCCAGGAGGAATCTCCAACTCTTATTGTCCAAGAGTCTTGCACATAGTAAAACTCACTTGGTGACAGAGATAGAGCAAAACCTCTATGCTCTATGTATAGGAGATAGTCTAGATCGATAATCTGGAAAGAAATGCATTGGGGAATAGGGACATCTTGGTTTCTGGTATATGAACCTTTTTTAGTATATCCCTTAAAGTAGAAGATATAATTCCATGCTGACATTCCATTACAGCCTTTTTTACTTTATTTAGGATATTAACAGACAGGGATCTATTGACAAGAACTTGGAGGCATTATCCATTCTCCTCCTGCATTGCTGATAGATACCTAATACTTGAAAGTAGAACAATGACCCTGGCATATTTCAGGCAAAATTAATACCATAGTCTATTAATCCCATGTTTCCTATGAAGAAAAAATATTGTTACATTATAGAATCCTGGGGTTAAAGATATGAGGTAAAACTTTTTTTAAAGCATCTTTCTAATTATCAAGCATTTTGCTACAAATCTGTGCAGAACTGGTACACTAGCATCTAAGAATACCCTGCATAAATAAAAGTCCAACCCACAAATTACTTAAAGTAGCACTGACTGACAGGAGAGAATCTTATATGCAAGTTAATGTCTGCTTGAGTCCTTATTCTTGCCACAAAATGTCCAACCACTTACCCACACACTGTGAATATATGCAGCAAATGAGTAATTACTTTCCAGAACTGAAATCTTAATGACGGAATCCTACAATTACCAAAGGAATCAGCCAGTGTTCTTGGGTTGCTACAATGGCATTTTCCTAGCAGTTAATGACCAGTATAATAATCAATACAAAAGCAACCTCATTCTAGGCTTTCCACTGTTTTTATAAATACATTTTAATTAATTTATTGGTAATTTCAGCTACCCCATTACTCAATGGCAAGATTACTTAAAACTGACACCTTCAAAATGAATGGGCGAAGGCTATCAAATTGACTTCCTAAGTGAGGAATTTCAAATAAAAGAATTATTAGTCAAGATCAATAAACCAGTAAATCAAAATAAATCCAGGCTGCTCTTTGCCCTTTACACAGACTACAGTTATATGCTACTTGAGAGAGAGAGAAAAAATAATGGATGTGCATGCAAAGTTCAGAAGGCAGACCTAGCAAAATGCCTACAAAGTCAGATTTCCAAGAAATGCTCTTTCCCATGATATGATGCATATTACAAGTACAGAGATAAGTTCACTATTTGGGGACCACCTTGAGGGAACTTTATAGTTAACCCAGAGCTTAAAGATGGTGATTATGGGATATAAGTGGTATCAACAGGCAGAATAAAAAGTACAAATACAGGTATAATATTTGTGGGATGAAAGTTCTACCTACAACCACCCTTTGCCAAATTGTTCCCTCTCTGTAGAGAAAATTAAATGACTAGCTCTGTGAATGTATGTCCCAGTCCTTTGGGAAATTAAAAATACTACTTTAAATGGAAGCAAGTAAGGTGCCTTACACCAGTTCTAGAAGTGTACCTAGAAGGGTCTTAACTGGGTGGGGGAGCACATGAGAGCCTCAGTATTCAGTTATGCAGATCCAAAACTAAGCTGAAATCCTCAAAACCTAAATCTTTGGGGACAAGGAGAGAGGTGGGAAATAAAAACACTTTAAGAAGGTATGTGGACTCTCTTAGACTTGCATTTATTACATCTGCTAAATAAATATTTTAAAACTAGTACCAAACATAAATTGCCTCAGTCTTAATGTTACATCACCTATTTTTTTTCCCTTGAACTTGACCACTTAATGTAGAGTCTGACATCAAGAACACCTGTGTATGAATTACAACTCTGTCCCCAACTGGCCAGTCAGCCATAATCTCTCTCTCTCTCTCTCTCTTTTTAAAAGATTTATTTATTTATTTATTTATTTATTTATTTATTTATTTATTTATACAAGCACTGGGTACAGTCAGAAGCACGGGAGGGTGAGAGAATTCACCAGAGCCAGAGCAGGTTGCAGAACAGGCAGACTGAGGAAGTACACTGCTGAGGGGAGCAGCAGGCACAGCAGGAGAGGTCTGCGTGCCATGAAGGACCCTCACTGGCAGCCAGGGATCGAACCAGCGCTGCAGAGGCTGCGGGCAGCTTCGCAGCCCAGTGTTCAACCACTGCGCCACTGGGGAGGCCCATAATCTCTTTTAAGCCCAATGATTTTGTCTTTAAAATGGAGATCACAATGCTTCTTTACGGCATGGTACTGACGGAAGAAGAGACTGCAGGCAACACACACAGCCTCACAAACAGCTGGCACTCACGGTTGTTATATCACCACTGCAATCTTCTGTGTGCACAGGCTTTTCTTAGAGTTTCCCACTACAGCCAGCAGGCTATAAGATTCTGCTCATTTCCTTACACTAAAAGTAACCTGCTCTTTGTCCCAGTCACTTGTATTCCCAGACTTCTGCTTAGTGTAAATCTAAACTAATGCCTACAGGAGTTTACATATACACAGGTTACCTATGGATTTCAATAAAATGCCATCTTCTGAATACATAAGAATTTTCACACTGGCAGCATTTTAATAGTTGGCATTTCAGCCTTTTAATTGACAAAAAAAAAAGTTTTTTGACTACAGGGGAAGTTGAAAAGAGATGCTTTTAGTGACCCTCATGACACCAAATCTTTACACAAGGCCAGAGTGGCTAAAGATCAATATACAAGAGTCCAAAATGAGATTCTAAGTCAGGGGGTGGGGCGAACTATGACCCTCAGGCCCACCCACTGCCAGTTTTGGTGATATGGTTGTAATGGAATGCAGTCACATCCACTTGTTTCCATATTTCTGTGGGTGCTGTCCCAAGGCAACAGCAGAGATTAGTTGCAACAGCGACATTACACAGTCTACAGATACCAAATATTTACTTACTAGCCCTTTATAGAAAATGGTTGCCAATCATTGGTAAGTCTCAATTCTCACTGCATTAGCATTCTGCTTTGACAACTGATACAATCAGTCACGGGTATCATGTTTGTAATGGTTGAGAAAGGTACTTAGAAAAGTGCGTCGAGGCCTCCCCAGTGGTGCAGCGGTTGAGCACTGGGTTGCGAAGCTGCCCGCAGCCTCTGCAGCACTGGCTCGATCCCCGGCTGCTCCCCGGCCACTGGAGGAGGGTCCCACAAGGTGTGCAGACCTCTCCTGCCGCCCGCTGCTCCCCTCAGCAGTGTACTTCGGTTCTTCTGCCTGCTCTGCTCCCTGCTCTGGCTCTGGTGAATTCTCTCACCCTCCCGAGCTTCTGACTGTACCCAGTGCTTGTATAAATAAATAAATCTTTAAAAAAAAAAAAAAGAAAAGAAAAGTGTGTCCTACTGGCATGAAGACAAGAAATGTAACACAAAATAAACAAAAATGTGCAGCTTGCACAAAAGGAATAGAGGAATCCCTGAATATTGATGGATTCGAATATGTTTATTTCCCCTGTTAGAATCCTCCAAGAAACTTTCAGAACCACTGGGTAAAAAGGAATTGATGTCTATGTCAACAGCAGGGCAATAGAATAAACTTGTTTGCTCAAATCTCAGCTTTTTCTTTTAATGAAACAAAGAAACAACCAAAAAAAAAAAAAAAACTATGGTACAATATATTTTTGAGATCCTGAGCTTGGTTCAGACATTAAGATTTTCAACGTCACATTAATGAAACCTCAATTCTATAGAAAATTCATCTTGAACAAAGGCCAATCTGTGTACAAAGTGGGTGAAAAAACACACCTATTAATATTTATAAAACAATTTTCACCATCAAAAGCACATTGTTACATGCTTGATAGATTATACAAATGAATTTTTCTTCTGAACAAATATCAAAGAAAGTTACAATACTTAAATTCACAGGGTGTTTTTGTTGTTTTGTTTAGTGGTGTGAGATTCTGTGAGCTGCTAATTCCACAGCTTCCATGAAGAACATGACTGGCAGGGAGAGGCCTTTGACCCTAGAGTTTTAACATAAGAATGTGCCACAGAATTAAACAAAAGAGAAATACATTTCAGATGGGAAACTCACACATAAAAGAAACATAAAAACAGCAGGAAATAAGATTGTCATAATTAGTTTGAAAAATAATCTGTCTTCAAGCAATGTACTGCATTTGATTTGTAATAAATAACCATAATGTGCTACAAATGTGCCTTGCCAAGATGGTCTTAAAACGCTGATATTTTCAAATTAGTCCCACTTC